GACAGAGAGATGGTTACCAGAGGGGAGGTGGATTAGGGGGCTGGGTGGGAATGGTGAAGGGATTAAGTGCAAATAATCATGGGCATTGAAAGTACAGCTTAGGGAATACAGTCAATAATATTGCAATAACTGTGTGTGGTACTAGATGGGTACTAGAACTATCAGGGGGTCACTTCGATAATTATATGAATGTCTAACCACTATGTGATATACCTGAAACTATTATAAACTAATAGTGAATTATATATAGATAATTATATATTATATTATATATATATAATATATAATTATGTAAAATGGCTAAAAAGAACCTAAAGTGAATGTAAAAGGTATTGGGGACGACAGAGCCCAAATAAGCAAGAATACAGTTTATAGGGGACATCTAAACATAAATAAGATAGACATCAGCAGAACACCATTGTGTAAATGTTAAAAGAACACTAACACTCTAGCTGGTTTGGCTCTGTGGATAGAGGGCTGGTGTGCTGACTGAAGGGTCCAGGATTCGATTCCCATCAAGGACACATGCCAGCGTTGCAGGCTCGAACTCCAGTGTGGGGCATGCAGGAGGCCAATGATTATCTTTCATCATTGATGTTTCTATCTCTCTCTCCCTCTCCCTTCCTCTCTGAAATCAATAAAAACATGTATATATAAAAAAGAAAACTCACATCAAACCAGAATTCTATACCCAGCAACAATAGTGGCCAAAATAAAGATGCCTTAGGAAACACTTTAAAATGCAACACTTGTTAGCCAACTAATTAGAAAAAAATACGCAAGTGAGTTATTAAGTACAAAGGAAAATAATCCCAGATTGAAAACCAGGAATGCAGAAAGGAATGAAGAAAAACATAATTTATAAGTAAATACAAGTACATTCAGTTCTATGAAGCAATTCTTGAAATCTCTCACAAAGATGAAAATATATGTAGAATTAAAATGCATGACAACAGTAATGCAAAAGTCAGGAAGCTTAAAAATAGACTTGAAAGGGTTCTAAGATACTGTATTTGGGGAGGTGGGAAAAGTAATCAATTGTAGTGTAGTATGTTAAGTAAAGGATGCATGATTTAATCATTAATGTAATTACACAAAGATTTGTACATGGTTGCAACTAACAAGTTAAGAGAGGGAACAGTGGAATAAACTAGTTAAATCAATGTCAGTGACGTATAAAGTAAAGAAAGATTTTCTAATGAGGGCAAAGGGAAGGAAAAGAGTAAGATGGTTGAACAATCTCAAATTTATCAGAAATTAGGGGAAATGCAAATGTACGGAATATTAGTTTACCTTTTCTTGGTGTTGTTCATCCTCACCTGAGACTATATTTTTTTCCATTGATTTTTTTAAAAGAGAGAGTAGAAGGGAAGCGAGAGACAGAGAGAAACATCAATGTGAGAAGGACACATGGATTGGTTGCTTCTAGTACAACACTGACTGAGGCCCGGGATCAACCCTGCAACCCAGGTATATGCCCTTGAGTGGAATGGAACCCTCAACCCTTCAGCCCGCGGACCAATGCTCCAACTCCTAAGTGAAACTGGATTAGAGCTATTGGTTTACTAGGAATGGCTGTATCATATAGAATTATTAATAAGTATTTTGGATATTCTCTTAATAAACATTTAAACAGTCTCTATGCTTTTCTATTAAGACACAAATTGCATGAAAGTGTTTGTGCAAAGAAACTTCCATTCCTGTTTGTTTTAAAAAAAAAAACACGTA